GATCTCAGATCTCAGCCCCCTGAGTAGTTAGTTACAAGTGTAAGCCACTGGTGCCCAGCTGGAATGATTGTCTTTTTAAAAAATTTTTGGTCAACATGAGGCTTGAACTCAGGGCCTGGGCATTGTCCCTGAGTTCTTGTTGCTTAAGTCTAGTGCTCTGCCACTTTGAGACACAGCCCCACTTCTGGTTTTTGAGAGATTAATTGGAGATAGTGTCTCACAGGGACTTTTCTGCCCAGGCTGTCTTTGAACTGTGATCTTCAGATCTCATCTTCCTGAGTAATTAGGATTACAGGCGTGAGCCACTGGCACCTGGCTGGAACTATACACATTTTTATTTATTTTTGGTCAGTCGTGGTGCCTGAACTCTGGGTCTGGGCACTGTCCCTCAGCTCTTCATCTCAAGGCTAACGCTCTACCACTTGAGCCACAGCACCACTTCCGGCCTTTTCTGCTTATGTGGTGCTGAGGAATCGAGTCCAGGGCCTCATGCATGCAAGGCAAGCGCTCTACCACTGAGCCACCTTCCCAGCCCCACATCCATTCTTCTTACGAAAACAAATTGTGACTATTAAAAATTCGTTACCTTAAAAAAAAAATTGGCCACCTTTTTCTTTTCTTGGGTGAGAAACATATCCTGGAAATCATTTTAAGATCAATGGGATCTTTCCGAGCTATGGTAGCTGGATCAATTAATCTCCCCTTTATTTGATTTTTGTTTTTTAAAGGTACTGGAGTTTGAATTTAGGACCTTACCTTGTGTTCCTTAGGTAGGTCTTTACCAGCTGGACCATGTCCACAGTCCTTTTTATTTCTCTCTTTTTCAGATAAGGGCTCACTATTTGCACAGGGACATCAGCCTTGATCCTCCTAGATTCCCTTACCTACATTTCCATTGTTAGGTAGCCAGGATTAAAGGTATACCACCACACCTGGTTCATTTCCCCTGTAAATGTGCACTAACATCTAAAGGATGAGTCACTGAACTAATGACCTTCATGCTGTTACACAACCAGTTATTGGTTACTCATTATTTATGCTTATATTTTTGTGGGTCTCCTGGGGGGCAGGAATGCAGGATGGCCTTTGTAGGTCAGAGGTTCCCATGGGAACATAATGATACAAATCTCTACTATGTGATCTTACTCAGGGATTCTGATTTTCCTAATTTATGTTTATTTCTGAGTGTCTTTTCTTTTGGGGGGGATAATAGGGTTTGAATTCAAGGCATTGTGTTTGCTAGGCAGACACTCTACCACTTGAATCATGCCCCATCCCCCCCCCCCTTTTTTTTTTTTAATTTGGTGTTGGTGTGAGGGCCCTTGCTTGCTCATGCTTGCATTCTACTACTTGATTAATTAGTATTTTGCTGATTAATAGTATTAGTAGCTAGGATAATTAGTAGCTAGGGCAACAGGCCTGGTTTTGAACCACAATCATGGTCTCAGCCTTTTGAGTAGCTAGAGTAACAGGCCTGAGTCAGTAGTAGCACCTGGCCTTTAGTTTTTATTTTTTCTTGTTATGTTGCCTTGACTGTCTTACATGCCTGAGCTCAAGTGATCTGTTCATCCCAGCCTTCTTAGTATCTGAAACTAGAAGTGGGAACTACCACTCTGCTATTGGACTGTTTTGATAGGCTTCCTTTTCAGTGTGACTGAAAAACTTTGTTTTTAATTGTTACTATTCAGGAATTGTCTGTTTAAGGGAATGAATGCTTAAGTTCCTGTCCCCTGGCCTGTTGTTCTTGACTTCTTCCATTTAGTGAAGGGAGGTCAATTTAGAAAACTTTAATCTGTGATAAGGGACAAAACATAAAGTATAGCTTTACTCTATATGTTAATCTCCGGTAAGTGGGCTGGAGGGAAATAAAGAAGAGTTTCAGCATGATGCTTTGTGAATGGGAGCATGTTAGAGTGAGTTGTGGTTCCTTCCTGCTTTCTTCCTCTTTTGCCTCTTATTTTCTAGAATATAGTGTTACTCTAGTCTTTTCTTGTGTTTGAATGGTGCACAGTGTTGAGTAGTACAGACTCTGGAGCCAGGCTGCCTAGGATCCAGTCCTGTCTCCCCTATTTATTAGCTGTATGACTCTGGTGAAGTTACCTAATCTGTACCTTTACTCACTCATCTATTAAATTGGAAATAGTACCTGTGGTGTGGGTTGCAAGGACTGAATGAGATGAAGTGTGTGTGAGTGCTGACACCAGACCAGGGGATGTTCAGCTGTTATCGTTCATCTGGCAAGTGGGGAGTCTTTTGTCTATAATATACCAATTAAAATAAATAAGGATAAATTTCAACTGCCTAACATTAAAAGGGTCAATATATATTAATTGCCTGGGCTTTAAAAATTGTTAAATATATGAATCTCTTGAGTTTTATGACAGTGACCATACACATTAACTGTTACTGTTTATTTGATGCTTTTCCTGTGGAAAGGCTGTCATTTACAGATGCTTTTGTAACTCTTAATTCAGAAGTTCTCCATTGAATGGCAAGAGTTTTAGGCCTCATTAAAGGTATCAAAAATGGAATTAACTTAAATGTTCCAAAAAATTTAACCTTTAGCAAATGTTATGTTGATTCACTTTATCCTGTTCTCTTTGCAGCTTCAGAACTTCTGTTGAGCTTCAAGATATGGGTCTAATTTAGAGCTCAGAAGATTTCAGTAACTAAGTGGGGTGGGTCTTTCACGTGTAATTAAATATTGATTAAAACTATGTAGTCATGTACATAAGCAGATTTAATTGATTTATCTACGTATGTATGTTGGTTAGTTGGGGGCTTGAACTCATGGGGGCACTGTTCCTGAGCACAAGGCTAGTGCTCTATCACTTTGAGCCACAGCACCACTTCTGGTTTTCTGGTGGTTAGTTGGAGATAAGAGTCTCATGGACTTTCTTTTCCCCGGCTGGCTTTGACTGAGATTCTTGGATCTCAGCCTTCTGAGTAGTGAGGATTATAGGTGTGAGCCACCAAGGCCTGGCTGGCTGGCTGGCTAGTTTTCTTATTTGTTTGCTTAGTTATAACATATGAAGCAGATCATACTTGGAGAGAAAGCCATATTTGAATACATTTAGTTGGTATGGTCTAGGCTCAGATATTTTCAAACTGGTTAAATATAGAAGCACAGAATCAGAAAGTGATGCCTTAACTTACCATCCTTTGGCCATAAGCTACATCAGACTTCATTAATTGGAGGGGTTGGAACCCATTGGTGAACAATCTCTTAAGTTTACAACTATTTTTTTCAGAGAATAGCAGTCTTAATTACTTGTTGTTTCCTAATGTCTGGTGGAAAATCCTGTTTTAAGTGTCCCATCTACTGGATTAAGCTTCTCCTGGAGGGGCTTGGAGGAAGTACCTGTGAGGTCCTGGGGTGTGAGGAAGGAAGAGGGTTTTAGAGAATTTTTATGCAGGTCCCTTGTGCCCAAGACTGGCTTTTCATCCCCTTGTCTATTGGGTCTCTTAGCTATAAGGTGTAAGTGTGTGTACACGTGTGTATACGTGTATGTGTGTGTATGTGCTGCTGTTCCCCTTTCTAGGAAGCATGTGTCCTGACTGCAGCCTCAGCTGGGAGGCTGGCCACTGAGGGTGGTTGTGAATGACAGGCTGATCACTGGTAAAGTCCTGAGCGTGCTTAGAGACCCAGGCACTGTGCCCAGCTCTGTAACCCATTCATTGTGGGATCTCTTAATTTTCTTGTTGAAGACTGGAAAATAATGCTGCCTGTTTACCTGAAGATTAATGAGTTAATGGCCTTGGATGAAGGCCACAGCGTCTACCCTGGTCATAATTTTCATTACTTCTGCTGGGAAACTCCAGTTTGGGCCGATAAAATAGTGGGAAGAAGACAGAACTGGAAGTGTGCTGTCTGTGTCTTAGCCAGTGGATTGCAAGTCCAACTGTAGGTCAGGTTCTGCTTTAGTTAGAGGTTTTTTTTTTTTTTTTTTTTTTTTTGCTGGTCTTGCTGCTTGAACTCAAGGCCTGGGTACTGTCCCTGAGCTCCTTTTTGCTCAAGACTAGTGCTCTACCACTTGAGCCACAGTGCCACCTCTGGCTTTTTCTGTGATTAATTGGAGATAAGAGTCTCTGACTTTCCTACTCAGGCTGGCGTCAAACCGTGATCCTCAGATCTCAGCCTCCTGAGTAGCTAGGATCATAGGCATGAGCTACTGGCGCCTGGCTAGTGGGAGAACTTTAACCAAAAGTATCTACTTTTTAAGAAACAACACCAAACCAAATGTCTGACCTACTGTTTGTTTGAAAAAGAACAGATGTCTATTCTGAGAACCTATTAAGAAAGATGTTAGTAGTTTTCTTCTTCTGTAAGGGAGGGAGATGGGTCAACAGAGAGTATAAATTGAAGAGGAGTTTGTTCTTATTTTCTCACTGCTCTTTTTGAGAGCATTGGTTTTGTTTCATTTTGTTCGTTTATAAATTTTTTTTTTTTTTTGGCAGAGAAACCTCATAGAGATCAAGCCAAAACAACACAAAAAGTATAAACAGAGCAATTGCTTTAAATACCAAGGATGTCAGCATGAAATTAAAATGAATAGACTGACATTTCTGCTATGAAAATTTTTAGCCAAACTGATTTAAACCAACAGTGAAAACTTCTGGCTTCACCTTATAAGGAAACATTTGACCTTTTTCAGTTTTTTTTTTGGGGGGGGGTGGGGAATGGGACTTAAAGGTATTGGCATTGGGATGTTTTTGGTTAAAATTTGTTTCCATCTTCAAATGGCCATTGGGATGGTTGTCTGTCTTTGGTGGCAGAATAGCAAATGCAGTTGGTGTGTTGGTACATTACAGTTTTCAGAGAGACGAGGTCTCTGAAGCAGAGGGTATGTGTGTTTCCGCCTCCATGTGTAACTGTTAAGAACACTGTTGTCATGTGAATTCTTACTCTTTTGAGCTTACTTTTAAAGTAACTTTCACAGAGAATTCCTGTTACCTAGACATGGATGACAGACTTACACCATTTCCTTTTTTTTTCTTAGACGTTCCAACCTCAGAGCAGCCTGAACTGTTCCTAAAGAAACTTCAGCAGTGCTGTGTCATTTTTGACTTCATGGACACGCTATCTGATCTTAAAATGAAAGAATACAAGCGCTCCACTCTTAATGAACTGGTGGACTACATTACAATAAGCAGAGGCTGTTTGACAGAGCAGACTTACCCTGAAGTAGTTAGAATGGTGAGTTTCTTTTCGCCGCCGCCGACACTTTAAAGCATCTTCGTAGCAACTCACAGGTGTATTTATTGCAGAGTGAGGTCACTGGAGGTTGCCACCTTCTCAGAGCTAAGCATGAATAGTCAGCACAGTCCTAGAAGTTGAAGAACGTGATTTGATGAGGATGAAATCCAGAACGTTTCAACTACAACAGCATTGAAGGAATCAGTAACTTCAAACTATGAAGCCAAGAAGGCCAGGGTCTTACTGGATTTCTCACTTTGACAAAAGAAATGACACAGGAGAATTCACAAAAAGTTTTTAGATCTCTGTTTGAAAAATATTCAAGCCTGTTGGATGTCTTGATTTCTTTTTTTCTTATTCATTGTGTTCTGTTAGCAGTGGCTTTAGACTTAATAAAATTGTGATTTGTAGAATCTAGTTAAGGCCTCTCTTGGCTTTATAACTAACCCTGTTCTTTACATTTTCTTTGAAGTCAAGGGTGTTGCCTTTCATGATTTTAGAACGGTGTCTGACAGTCTGTGGCCATTAAGAATTACAGGATGAAATATTATTAGCATGATTTAAGTAGTTATGTTTTTAATGTGTCAGCAGTTAGTTTTCAAAAATTAAGCCAAAATGTGATTGTCTGTTAGATTTCTGAGGGTGGGTTGTTTCCCTTGGTGTACTAGATCATGGATCTAGAGGGCACATGATTTTGAGGGCTGGATGCGGGTGGGGGTGGAGGCTGGTCTCTTGAAATGTGCAGTTAAATAAGCTACAGAGGACCAGAAGGGTCAGGGTGTCATTGGCAAGTCCACTGGCACAGTTCATGTACTGCAGAATGTCACTGGCTTTGTCTGGTTAACTTGTATTTTTATTTAACGAATTCAGAAAGGAGCCATTTGTGATGGAGCAGATATAATTAAAAATGATAGTTCAGATTTGAAAAAGGGACTTTCATTATCTCTGCTTGAGAAACTGATTGGTCTATGAAGGTCATTTCAAAACAGTGCCAAATGTATTCTTCATATCTATGTAAAAATGAATATTACAGTTATTAATTTACAACAGTGTAGTGCGGGGATGTTTTATAGGTTAACTGCTGTCATTGAACAGTGCTTCTCAACCAGGAGTGATTTTTACCTCACAAGGACATTGACTAAGTTCTGGAAACACATTTTAGTCATAACGAGTTATAGGAGGCAGATGTTTTAATATCTAGTGGGTGTAGGTTAAGGATGCTGCTAAATACCTTATAATGCACAGGACAGTCCCAATAGAAAAATCAGCCCAGGCCCATCCCAAAATGTGGTGGTCTGTTAGAATCCGTGGGAAGATTGTGTTGGCATCCTAGAAGATCATGGATCTAGAAAGGGCTGGTTGGGAAGGGTAGAGAAGGCTAGTTTGAATGGTGCACTTAAGCTACAGAGAATCAAAATGGTCAGGGTCTCAAGCTTACTGGGCCAAGTGCTGTTTGTTTTCCTGATATGGTCCATGCTAACTTTACCTGCGGGCCCCACAGTACTGAACCCAGGGCTTCATGATTGCCAGGAAAAATTAGACCACTTGAGCTGTATCCCTTGTCTCTTTGATTTGTTTTTGAGATAGGGTCTCATTAATTTGGCCTAGGCTGGCTCAGATACATGGTCCTCTTGTTTCTACCTCCCTATCTGCTGGGATTACAGGTCATGTATCTTTTAAATTCAAAAAGAATGGTATACTATACATACTGTATCTTATGTTTGCATGCACACACACACACACACACACACATCAGTATGTATAAAGCTTCTTTTTAAAAATAGCTGCCTAATGTTTTATTGTATAAATCATTTAACCAGTATTATATGGGTATCCTTGTAAATGTAACAGCTTGCCCTTGGAAGAATATCTATATATATGTTTATTTTTGTTTTTTTCTTTTTTGGTGGCACTGGAGTTTTAACTCAGAGCTTTGTGCTTGTTTCAGAGACATTCTATCACTTGAGCCACACGTCCAGTCTAGCTTTGCTTTTGTTGTTTTTCAGCTAGGATTTTGCATTTGTGCCTGGGCTAGCTTGGACCAGAATTCTATTTACATTTCTCTGCATGGCTGGGATGTTAGGTGTGTATCACCAGGCCCAGTGTTTGGCATATATATATATATATATATATATATATATATATAATCTTTTAGGTCATTCTGCAAAAGGGTTACCCTTCAACTTGTCAGTTTATAAGTACAGTGCATCACTATCCTTATCACCCCTTTCATCATTCTTCCCTCCCCATGTTTTTGTTGATATGGTGTCTTGCCAACTTTTTCTCAGCCTGGCCCAAACCACAATCCTCTATCTCTGTCCATTCTCTTTTAGTGATTTTAGATTTGGAGGAAGAAGGATGGAAAGAGGAAGGTTGAACAAATGTAGGCATAGTACTCAGTAGACATTATGGGGAAAATGAACTATGTAATTTGTGGGCATGTATGGGAGGGGGAAACTGAGGGAAAGTGAATTAACGGGTGACATTGTCCAAAAAGAAATGTACTAATTTCCTGACTTAGGAAAAAATAACAGCTATGTACAACACCTTAGTAATAACAATAAGAGTATATTTTAAAAAAGATTTTAGATTTTTAGGTAGAAAAATTGAGAGAAAAATGCAAAGTGCAAAGATCTGTATGTGTGAGCCAGTAATAGGGTTGAATGCAGGGCCTGGGTATAGTTCTTGAGTTTTTTTTGCTCAAGATAGCGTTCTATCCAAATGCATGAAATTTAAAAAATACATTTGAATACATATCTTAGGGTTCATTTCCCTAACATCAACTTATCTGACCTTTTCTGCTTGACTCAGACGTATATTAGTTATTGCAAATAAGGGAAACCATGGGATCTATGTTTCTTTGGGCCTGGCTTGCTTCACTTAATATAATTTTTTCCAAGTGGGAAAGCATTTTTTAATATGAAGTCTGGATACACATATACAGACTACTAGAATTGAGAGAAAAACAATGCTATCAGAGGTGAAAGCTGTACCACTGAAGTACATCCTGATCTTGAGCTTGAGCTCAGGACATGGACACTCTGTCTATGAGCACTCTCTCGCTTTCTTATATCCCCTTCACCCCTGTCTCCCTCTCTCTCACCTTCCCTTTGTCTCTCCTTTCTCACTTCCCCTCTCCCCTCCACTCCCCTCTCTCCCTTCCCCTTTCTCCCTTCCTCCCTCTCTCTCCCTCTCCTCTTGATCTCCTTTCCCCCCCTCCTCTCCTTGTCCTCACTTTCTCTCTCTTCTCTCTCCCCCCCTCCTTTTTCTCCCTCTCCTTCTCTCTCATCCTCCTCCCTTTCCTGGCACTCTCTCTATTTCTCTCTTAGCTGGTTCTCTACCCCATGCTCCACTTCTGGCTTTTTTTGGGTAGTTTTTTGGTGTTAAATTTCATGGACTTTTCTGCCCTGGTTGCATTGAACCTTAGTTCTCAGATCTCAGCTTCCTGAATAGCTAGGATTAGAGGTGTGGGTCACATGCTCATGCACAGAGAGTCTGGGTTCACCAGTAGCCAAGGCTTGTTTCAATCTGTCTCCTGCCTCAACCTCCTAAGTGCAGAGAATACAGGTGTGTGCCAGGGCCCAGGTCATGGTTTGTCTCTGCTGACAAGCTCACAGTCTGTTAGAGAATATTCCCGTGGAAATTATAATGTAGTATCAGACTCAGTAAGTAGATATGGGACAAGGAAGGAGTGGAGAGTAGTGATGATTGATTGGGGGTGGATAGGGCAGGCGTTCCAAAATAAAGCCTCAGTAGGGTTATCAAGAAGATGAATATATGTATTCTATGTGGCTGAATAAACATTGAAATGAAAAAGCAAATTACACGGTACAAATTACACGATACAAGTCCCCAAACACATGACAGATACAGGGAAGCATTGGCAGTGCTGTGGTGTTACGGTGGTGTGTGTGCACTCACACGCTCTCAAGTGGGAGGAGTGAGTGGCAGCAGCTGCAGATGCTGAGCTGGGTCAGATTCTGAAGGAATAGACTATGAAGAACCATTGAACAGCCTGAAGCAGAGCAGTGATAGGCGTAGAGTTCTATTTTAATTTGGAGGGGCTGAAAGTGAAGGGGGTGTGTTTAACTTAGAGGAGTTGTGGAGGGCCTTAAAGCTAGTGTAGGTGTTGAGAGGAGAGGAAAGAGTAATGTTGAAACAGACTTAGGAGGAAAAATTGAAGCCACATTTATCATTGTTGTGCTGTTTGGGGGAGAGAAACAAGTATTAGGATAGCTGTGGCAGTGAGGTAGTTAATACATCATAGAGAGAGCGTGGTTTGGACAGAAGCTCAGGGGTTGAAGTTCGATGTGTTCATATTGAAGTTGCTGGGGAAGGCATAGGTGGGGAAATGTGGAGATGGAGTGGGGCAGGTGAGAGAATGGCCAGTGATGGAACTGCAGAACCAGTGTAGCAGGTAGAAGGGAGCCAGGGGTTGCAAGGATGGAGGAGGAAGCGGAAGTGAAAACAGTCACAGTGATTGTTCCTAGCACAGTGGCACCTTGGATATGTGTCTTCCTTTGAATGAAGTGCTCTCATTTCGCTAAAAAAAGTATGTAACTTTGTCACCTAGTTTTTGCTAATATTTTCATATTTTGCCTTGATACGTGCCTAACTCCAAATCTGGTGTCTTCTGAATAACCCAAATTCTAAAGCATATGGTTTTTCTAAAGCTGAAGTAGCTTTAATATAAAATACATTGTTATTTTTTTCTTCTTTTCTATTGAGACTTTTCCAAGCCCTTTATTATGTTTCTTGGCCAGTGTTACTTTTATTCTTTTTCTCACTCTCAAATTATATCCTGTCACCTTGGTTGGCTATAAATGCTGTCTCTTTAGAATATTCTTAGATTTAACTGGAAATTACAGCTTGGGTTAGCATCTTTAATAGAATTATATGTTTTTTTTTTAAACCATGCATTTGTAATGAGATGTTTCATTCTGTCTTGTTATACTCTTAAGGAATGCTTATTTCACTATATACACTCCTGGTTGAAATGT